ATTTGTTTAGTTTTTGCTTCTGGATAACTCGAGAAAACAGGGTGAAGAGGTACAGTGTCTTCCCTCATGGGAAAGGACTAACTGATTTGTTTAAATCTCCACTGCCCACACTTATGGAGCTGTTGCTTCCTGGGGTAGCCTGCTCACATTGGTTTGCTCTCCTTCTTTGCTATTTTGGTTTCGTTGCAGTAATGGTAACTTTACATTTATAGTGCTATGTATAAGGGCATAGCATGTGGCTTTTATTTTGAGATTCTGCTATGACATGTGTATGTTTCATGGTTTAATTTAGTGAGTGGAGTTTTCTCTAGGGAAGAGTCTCATTCCCTTTTAACTGGTTAAAGGACATTCAGCCAGTAAGGTATCCCACATATGGGCTCATCAACCAGAAGATGAGTTGTATTGGTAAGAGAAATCCAATGGGTCCAAAGAATTAGCACCAGTACTCACTTTGGGTTGGAGGTGTCCAGTTCCACGGAATTCAGTCTAATCAGGTTGAACTCCTGATGGATTTAAAGGAATTCAGCCTAGCCAGATAATAAAACCCTTGGGGGCTTAAAAGGAAATTCAACCTTAGCAGGTTAAACCCCTGGAAGGAACTGTCCTACCATGTTAAACCTCTGGAGGGAAGTGCAGCCTGACCAGGTTAAACCCCTGGGGGAAGGGGCTAAACCTAGATCCTAATTGTTGATCCTCCTATCTGCAGATGGGGACAGTCTCATCTATTCAGATGTCTTCTTAGCCTCTGGGATGAGTCCCACACTCAGAGCCTTCATAGAGATCGTCTTACATCCCTGTGTAATAACAAATGACCTAGGTATCGCACTTGGGGAAAGTGAGACATAGCTACCCCCTTAACAGCCTGAAATATAATGCCATATTTCAATTATATCTCTACAGTAAAGAAGAAGAGAAATGGTTAGAGGTGCCTTGTATTCAAGCCTTTATGGCCCTCTAGCAGAGGCCCGATCTATATCCTAAGTCATCATCACACAGGAGTTGATGTTGAGGACTCCTTCATGTCAGCTCCTCCTTCCCACAGACTACCTCCTCAGCATCCTGCTCAGGCAATACCCTGAGGAATAAAGACCATCTCCTGAATCCACCCCATGCTAGGTCTAGGTCTATTTGCCATAGGACCATAGACTCAGGAAACCCAGCATCTAAGCCCACCTCTGGTCCACTCCTTTGAGGAGTGGCAAACACCAGTGGTATAGTCAACATGGTAGTTCTTTTTCATTGATGGATATTCAGCAATGCAAGGAAAATTGGGTAGATTCTCTGAGGAGCCTGAACAGTTTGCTGGCAGTTTCCAAACCCTAATGATGGCATTTGATCTGACCTGGTGAGATGTCCAATTCATCCTTGTTTCTTGTTGCAGAGCAGTAGAAAGGAAAAGGATTATAAAGGCTACAAAACAGGCCAATGATGAAGCCTTTGCAGGTTCAGCCTCTGATAATGAGCTGACTGTGGCATCATTCAGGTCTCAGGAAGGGCTTGAGTGAAATTATAACACATGGAGTGGAGAAGCTAAACAAAAGTTATACATCAAGGCCATTTTAGCTGGTGTACAACAAGGATGCCCAAACCTGTGAACTACTGATGGGCAAGAGGAACTCCATTTTTCTGGTTTTAGCCTCACAGTAAGAGAGATCACTTAAAGTTCACTTAAGCCGTAGTTGACACCCTTACACCTAATCCCCTTATCAACTTGCTTAAAGGCAAAGCAGAGCCATAAATTTGGAACAGAACAAATAAAGCAAATTTGCAAGTAGGTTAAAGGCTAACCCACTGGGGTTATTGGAATTTAGTTGTCTGACCTCCTGGGAGAAAGGTAAACTTTGTGTTAATTATGTGACATTCTTGTAAGATTCCTGAAAATGAAGTAATGGTTACCATGGAAACCTGAAATGTGTTAAAACCAAAGGTGAGACCCAGAGCAGCACAGACATCTTCTCTGACTTGGGGTTAGAGATGATCTGTCAGCTGACTCGAATAAAGCTTTGGTTGTTCATGCTTTTTTGGTTTTCTTGGGAGTGTCTTTCTCAATGGACTCACTTGCTGTATCACTATGATAAACTCAGGTCTGTTAGTCTACGCTTCAGTGAGCCTGGAGAAGGTCAGATTATCCTAAGCCAGTACTTAATCGGTCACTCATCTCCAGATATTAGGAAAAGGCTGCAAAACCCCAACTGGGTCCACAAACTAAAATAAGCCAGTTGGTCAGTGAAGCTTATTTGGAATTCAATAACCATGATGAAGCAGAGGACAAATGAGAACTGAATAAAGAAAGGAGATAAGAAAATCAAAAATTTTAAATTATACTTTAAGGAAAAACAGCACCCTCAGAACACAAGCCCAGTTTATTTACTTTTTTCTCTTTTCCCCAAATAACAAACCTGAGCAAATTCCTTTCAGCTACAAATGGGTCTGCCCATTCCCTCTTACTTGCAAATAGTTCTCTTTCACCAATGAATGGACCACCCTTTTGGGATTTTCCATAGGAATAGACCATTATCTCAATCTCCCCCACCCACTAAGACTATAGATTATTGAATTCCACAGATTCCCACCTCCCGAAACATATAAAGACTCCCCAGTTCCCAAATGTATTTTGCCTCATTTGTTTGAGCACCTGCCCTTTACTCTGGAGTGCTTCTTATACCTACATCTAATAAATCTTTCTCATGTCTCTTTTACTGACACATACTGAAAATTCTTTTTCTTTGATGGGAGTCAGCAAACCTGCCTACTTATTTTAAAGGGATTGGTAAATTCCTTATTTCAGTCTGAAGGACCCTCAGACACAGCCCTTGGCAGAGCTATCAGGAAAATATTACCTAATCCAAAACCTCACAACCCTATTAACAACTTCTTTTGTCATTAAGATACAGAGAATATATAGTTGGGTTCACCCCTCCAAGGTAAAGCTCAAACTACCTGAGACACCAGAAGACAAAGAAGGACCATGAATTTCATATACCCATGAAGAAATAGACAGACAACCTCAAGTTTATTTTCAGGAGAGAAAATTCCAACCACTCTAGTGAACTAGATGGATAAAATGGATTGCCCTACTCTAAGTAGATTGTGTGAATAGTCTCACTACCATCTTGTTTACTACACTTACTAAAACAATAGTTGTACCTGATTCATAAAAGGGGCTATGGCCAAATATATTCAAATGCACTCTGGTTTATAAACAATTATCATATGTGTGCTTGTCTGACTGTCTGTCTAATTTGTGCAAATGACCATTGTATAAAAAGACCACATTTTTTTTATCCATTCCTCAGTTGATGGACATTTGGGTTGTTTCCAAGATACAGCTATTACAAATTGTGCTGCTACAAACATGGGTGTGCATATACTGCTGTGGTATGTTTTTAATTCCTCTGGGAACATACCCAGCAGGAAAATAGGTGGGTCAAATGGGACCTCTAGGGGTTGGGGATTTAGCTCAGCGGCAAAAAGCGCCTGCCTGGCAAGCGCAAAGTCGTGAGTTCAGTTCCCGGTACCGGAGAAAAACCAACAACAACAACAAAAAAAAACCAAATGGGACCTCTAGTCCTAGTTTTATGACAAATCTCCAAGCTGATTTCAACAGTGATTGCACCAGCCTACACTCCCACCAACAGTGGAGAAGGGTTCCTTTTTCCCACAGCCCTGCCAGTATTTGTTATCAATTGATTTCTTGATAATAGCCATTCTTTCCAGGGTCAGATGAAATCCCAGTGTTGTTTTAATTTGCATTTCTTAAATGACTAGTGATGCTGAACATTTTTTCATATATTTTTGCTGTTTGTATCCATCTGAGAATTGTGTATTCATCTCAGATGCCCGTTGTTGGATTGGGTCTTTAAATTTGAGATGTATAATTCTTCTGAGTTCTTTATATGTTCTCAGTAGTAATCCTTTGTCTCAGAAACAGCTAGCAAACATTTTTTTTCCCACATTGTGGGTTGTCTCTTCACTCTGTTTGTAATTTCCCTTGCTGTGCAAAAGCTTTTTAATAAGATGAAACCCCAGTTGTTGATTCTTTGTGAAAGTTCTTGTGCAATCAGGGTTTTATTCATAAAGTCTTTGCCTACACCAATGTCTTCAAGAGTTTTACCTATTCTATCTTCCAGCAGATTTAATGTTTTTGTTTCAATATTTAGATCTTTGATCAATTTCAAATTTAGTTTGGTGCATGGTGAAAGATATTGGTCCAATTTTAATCTGCATGTGTAGAGCCAGTTTTTCTAGCATCGTTACTAAAGAGGCTCTTTCTTTCCAGTGAATGCATTTGACACCTTTGTAATCACACATCCTCGATCCCAGCATCACACATATTAGATTCAGCTACCTCTGAAAAAGCCCCATGACCACATGAAACTTTGGTGGGACATCTAGATACAAATCACAACAGCTTCTTCCTTCCTGTGGATTTGCCTGTGTAGCATCACTGCCCAAAACACACATGGTATTTAAACCCTGGGAGATGTGCTTGGGGAAAGGGCTGATCCACGTTCATGGTGAGGCCTCAAATACTGACTGACTCCGCAAGTCTCTACTATGACATCTGCATCAATCATGTCTGCTGGGAGTGTCCTACTTTTAAGACTTAGCATTCCAAAGCCATGGGATGAGGATGTGGCCACCACTAGGCTGCAATCTCAGTATCCTCCCATGGTCCTTCTTCTTCCAGAGAGTGTACTTTCCTTTATTAAGTAAACAACTGATGAGACCTGCGAGGCAGGTGGACTCAGAGACCCATGGTCTGGCTCAGAATCACACTGACTACAGTACTATATGAAGCAAACTAAGAGGGGGATGAATTCATACAAAAGTGCTAGGAAATTGGGAGAGCTTTCAAAGAATAAATATAATGGGAGAAATCTTTAATGAACAGTTATGACTTTATTTTTTTTAAGAAAAGTTTACATAATATCCACCACCTGTACTAAATAAATACTTGTACTTGTCCCAATAAAACAATTGAAACATCTCTCCATCAGGTATTGCGCCAAGCAGAATTGAAATCAAGAGTAAAGAGTGCTGGGAATTGTCCTTCAGAAGCTCATCTACAGAAGGCTCAATGCCGGGTACAGCACAGTCCAGAGGTGGGGCATGGAGAAGCAACTGGAACATTTGCATTCCTCAGTGATCAACCCACGATGAGGTCGTACCTTGACAGTGTTACTGGGAGGGAATGGGACAGAGGTGGCCCTGTGCGGAAAGGAGTGGGTCATGGAGGCGGGACCTTGAGGACCATAGCTGGCTCCTGGCCCCTTCCTCTCTGACTCTTGCTCTCTCTGCTTCGCGGATGCCACGAGTGGAACAGCTTTCCTCCCCATCCTTTTTCTGCCCCACCACAGGGCTAGCACAGGGAGCCTCCTGAGCATGGACTGAAGTCTCGAAACCACCACTCAAAATAAACCTACTTGCACAAAATAAATAAATAAATAAACCTACTTGCCTTTAAGTTGTTTATCTCAGGTGTTTGTCACAGTAACGAAGTGCTGACTAACACAGAGTGAAGTCTAATTTCAAGCCAATGTGATAAAGGTTTCATATTCTTTTAAAATTATTATTTTAATTGTATAAAGTTATAAATACAGTGCGATGATTTAATAGGTGTCTATAATGTGTAGTGAACAAATCAGGGTAGTTAACATTTCCATCTCCTCAAACATATTCTTAAAACTTTTGATTAACACACAATTGTACATATTTGTATAACAGTGTGATACTTCAGGGCATATAGATACTGTATGCTGATTGAATCAGGGTAATCAACACTTTCGTCTCTCTATGATTACTTTGTGTTGGAGACTTTGAGTTCTTCTGTTCTATTCATTCATAAATTACATAATAGGTTATTGTAAACACTAGAACTTATTACCTCTGTGTTCAGATGCCCATTATCTAACTTGCATGTATTGCCCATTCTTCTTAGCCTCTAAGAATTACTATTATGCATTCTAGTACTCTTTTTAACATCTACATATAAAAGAAAATAGTGTTTGTCTTTCTGTGTCTGACTTATTTCACAATATAACAGCCTTCATTCCATCCATTTTCCAGCATATGATAGGAAATCTTTTTATGGATGAATAATATTCCATTACATAAATGTAGTACATTTTCTTTATCCCTTTATCTATGGATAAGTGTCTAAGTTGTTTCTATGTTTTCTGTTGTGAACAGTAACAGCAATAAACATGGGTGTATCGATGTCTCTTAATATGTAAACAGTCAATACAAAGTAATAAGGAAAACAGTAATATCTAATATAAAGATAGGCATACACAATTAGACAATTTTCAGAAAAATTAAACTGGTTAATAAATGCATTAAAACATTTAGCATTTTTAGTTACCAGTCATTAATAAGCATAGGGGTGCAAATTAGACAGCAATGAGCTAATGGGATCCCAGATAGAGCCACAGGGGCCTCTTCCCCTATAATTACAACCTGATCATACATTTTATATCTCAAGCATGAAAGCATGTTTTTTTCCCCAATTTTCTTCTCTTATTGTGGATTAAACTATGTCCAACCCTCAACAAGGTATTTTCTCATGCTATTCCTGCTACCCTGGTAACAGCTCTATAACAGAATTCATGCAGGATTCTCTGTCATTCTCTGCCTTCTGGCTACTCCTTCCCTAAGGGCTACATCCATCCACATTTACAGACTGCGTCTTACTCCTGACAACTGGGGTCACTGGGTGAGGATGGACCCCTGAGCATGGCTGGTCAGCAGTCTGTGTCCTAAGGGTGAAAGATGACCTGCAGAACTCCTCTCTCAAAGAGAAGAAAAAGGAGGAGGAGGAAGAGGAGGAGAAGGACAAGAAGGTGAAGGAGAAGAGGGGAGGGGTGGGGAGGAGGCAGAGGAGCAGGAGAAGGAAGAGGAGAAGTAGAAACAGTAGCACTAGTACGCTGGTTGGCCCGGGGTGAATGACAGCGCATCAGAGCGTCTGGGCCCTAGTGGTAGAGGAGCCGAGTGTGCAAAGCCAATGCTTCTGCTGCTGAGTCCCTAAAGCAGATCTAACCAGAGTCAACCTTCAGCTGCAGACCCAGGGAGCCCCTCTCACTATGGCTTCACTCTTGGCTTCTATCACTTCCAGGGTCTTCCCTTATCTCCTGACTCCTGATCCCAGCCTCTGCTCAGTCTCCATGAGGGTTTCTACGTGTTGACAAACAAACTCCTAATCTTCCACTTAACCCTGCTCTCTGGAAGTCTTTCCCATTTAGTCAACAGCCACCCTTCTATCCCAATTGCTTCAGTCTTTCCAAACTCCTCCCTTGAAAACACACTCCCATTTAAATTATTGGCAAACTCTGCTGGCCTTTACCTGGGAGACCAACACAACTTGTTTAACACCTGCACTACTAGATGTCTGGTCCTAATCATGATCATCTCTCACTGGATTTGTCCCCAGTCTCCTAATTGGCCTCTCTGATGAACCCTTGCCTCAAGTGCAAATCAGATCATGTCACTCTTGCTCAAAACTTTGTATCTTTTCTTTATCTCCCTCAGCATGCCAAGTTCTTATCATGGCCCACAGGGCCCTACAGGATTTGCTGCACCTTTCCTCCCCTCTTCCATGTCCCATTCCATAATCTGGTCCCCCTGCAGGTCAGTCTCCCCACTGCTTACTCACGTGCAGCCACTCTGTTTCTTGAACATACACCTCAGGGTCTTTACACTTATTGTTTCTTCTATCTGGGATGCTTATTACCTAATATCTGGATGTCTCCTTCCCTTATTACACACAAATGCCTGTTCAAGTGTCAACTTGTAAGAAAGGCCTTTCCTGACACCCTTCTCCAATGCTTTGGCTGCTTCATTATCTGTTGGCTGACGGGCAGGCACGTGTCATTCAGGATGTGCACTGTGCAGTCTTCAGTGTCTCATTATTAAGGCACTGGCAGGGAACAGATAGCTTTTGAATGTGCGCAAAGGTGCTGTACCGGGTAGCAGCAGGCCCCTCCCCTTGCCTTTGTTAATCTTTCGAGACTTCTCACCCCTACACATGCTGTCCACCTCACATCCACTAAGCCCTGTGAGATCAGGCACTTTGCCAGTTCTGCCCCAACTACCATTTCCAGTGTCTAGAGCAGCGCTCAGGATTTACTGAGCACTCAGGATTTTCAAATGAATCAAGCAATATTAATTAATTAATGACTAATTGATACTATGCTCTTTTTTTAAAAAAAAAACTCTTTTTCAACTCCCTTGAGTGATGAGTTTATCATCCTTACATCTACGTAAATCCAAAACCAGAACAATAAGCAAGCCCAGTATTACATATTTTAAAAATTTCATTCCTAGAGATCAATAAACTGCCCACTGTCTGACTGCTAATAAGTGGCTCTTACCACTTCAAAGGCCACATTTCTTAAACACTATCTTATCTGGAAAGACCAGTGTTCCTAAAGACAGCCACAAAATAATGAGGAAGCTCCACACTTGTTAAATAATGAAGCTTAACACAGAAGAGAAATTACATATTTAATGTTCTGTAGCAATGAGTCACAATATTTGTTAGTAATCATTCATTAATAATGGAGAATTACAGCAATGTGCCTTTCAATGTTGCACCACAAAGAGGAAGAAATCAACCTTTATTTTAAATGAACTGATGAAAAAATCTCAAAAAAGGGTAGCTCTTGAGTAGTTCAAGGGTAGTGTTTATGAGTAAGAAATAGTCACAGGGAAATTAAAATCTGAAGGCTTTATATATACATTAAAAAGTGGAAGAAATAAGCAATTATAAAACAGAAAGATCAGAGGAGATGATGGTAGATGGTTTTTCCAACTATTAATCAGGAGAATCTGCTGGCTATAAGAGCTGTTTCAAAGCTGTGATGAGTGAAAAAGAGCGTGTCCCATTACAGTGCTGTCCATCCAGCAGCGTAATAGCTCAGTACTGCATTTCCAAAGGGTGGGAGAACTGCTTTCCAAACACAGCGACACACCACTCACTCACATGTGGCTTTGCAGTGACGGAGAAGGACCACTGAGCATGGAAGGCAACCACAGTAGCCAGGAGACAAAAACCAGGTTCTGAGTCACATCCCACTCCTCCAGAGGAAGTGGCCCTCACTGGCCTCGTTGGGAATGGTGACAAAAACCAGGGTCAAAACAACAAAAAGTGAAAGCAGACCAAGAGATTTTGTATAGAAAATAACAGTTCCACCTGAACAGGCAAAGGAATACATGCCAAGCCACATGTGCACTCATATACTCTAAGCATAATAGTTTTTTTTTATTTACAATGGAATCACACAGAAAAATGAGTTTGGAAAACTCTTATGTGTGTCCTCCTGAAATCCCTTTAGGATAAGAAAATCCTGTAACAGAGAAACACATTTAACATAGTTTTATACTTGGTTGTTATGGACTGCATTGTGTTCTCCCTAAAATTCCTTCTTGAAGCTCTAACCTCCAGAGAGATTGTATTTGGACACAGGGTCTTTAAAGAGGCAATGAAGGTTCAGTGCAGTCACAGGGTTGAAGTCAATGATGTCAGAACACTAATCATAGTATGGCATTCCTGTGAGAAGAGAGACACCAGGATTGCAAGCACCCACAGGAAAGGCCAGATAAAGACACACAGAGAAGGTGGCCACCTGCAAATCCAGGAGAAAGGCCTCACCAGAACCTGACCATGTTGGTACCATGATCCTGGATGTCCAGCCTCCACTGAAGAGAGAAAATGAATGTCAGCTGTTTAAGCTGTCCTGTTATACAGCCCAAGTGAAGAAATGTACCAATATTTCCAAAATGTATCTGAACAAAGGACACTTAGGCCCTCAAGCTAATAGTAATATCTCTCGAAATGGCTCAGAAAATATTGTCTAGGATAAGTCAAAGAATTAGCTTGTAGCTATGCCGGTATACCCTGGGAGTGAGCAACTGAGCTTTCTCTCCTTTCAGGGTTTAGCTGCATTCAATACTATTGTTTTCTCAGTGTGCACTGCGTTATGAAGATGAGTAAGAAAAGTACCCCTCAGAACGGAGGCTTTGTTTCATTTTGTTTTTTGAGAAGGTTTCTCTAAATTCTAGGATTTGAACTTGCATTCCTCCTTCTTCAGCCTCCCAAGTGCTGGCTATAGGTGTGCACCACCATGCCAGGTGGAACTGTTTGCTTTTTATAGCAATGTTTATAACCCTATGGGCCAAAATAAAAGGGGCATCCAAGACAAAGGGTGACCAGATAAAGTGAAGGCCATGAAGGAACTGAAACTTAATTCTATAGGCAGTGGGGAGATAGGCAAGGATTTAAGGATGGGAGAGAATAGCCTGATCATATTTATGCTTTTAAAGTTAAGCCAGGCATGGTGGTACATTCTTGTAATCCCAGAACTCTGGGAAGCTGAGGCAGGAAGATTGCAAGTTTGAGCCTAACCTGGTCAACATAGCAACTTAATGAAACCCTGCTTCAAAATTTAAAAATTACAACAAAAACGAATGGCAGATGATGCAGCTTAATGCAAAGGCCCTGTGTTCCATCTGTGGTAGAGATA